CCCATGAGGTGTGTATTATTATTATCTCCATTTTGCAGATGAGGGAACCGAGGCTCAGAGAGTGTAAGTAACCTCTCAATAAACATTTGCCAAACTATGTTTGCTAAGAGAATAATAATTTGAAAAGTCTGGGCACAGTGGCTCAGGCCTGTACTCCCAGTCCTTTGAGAGGCCAAAGTGGGAAGATTGCTTGAGCCAAGAGTTTGAGACCATCCTGTGCAACAAGTGGAGACCCTGTCTCTACAAAAATTAAAAAACTAGCCAGACGTGGTGACACCTGCTTGTAGTCTTAGCTACTCGGGTGGCTGAGGTGGGAGGATCACTTGAACTCACTTGAGTGGAGGCTGCAGTGAGCTATAATGACGCCACTGCCTCCAGCCTGGGCAACAGAGTGAGACCCAAATTATTATTTCAAATAATAATTTGAAAAAAGTCAACCTCAGAAAAGGCAGCCAAGTTAACTCAAGTCTCCAATATAAAAAAGCCTGGGGATGCAGGGGAGACTATGGGGTTTGCTGGGCCTGCTCTGATATTGAGGACACAATGATTTTGTGGCTCTAATGCTATGAAGCAGCACCATTTCTCACATGTCAGTCCATGGCTCGGTCATTTTATCCAGAGGCTTTGGGTGGTAATAGGGTTGGGACTTGAGCCTCTCCCCTTCTTCCCCCTCCCAGAATTGCTAGAGCAACTTTCTGAAAGTGTGCTGCTCGGGTCACAAAGTAGCTTCTTGCAAGGGGTATGTGCATCCTCGGGGTGGAATCTTTTGCTATTTAAACTTACTTCTCGGTGGCGGAGCAGCAATGTATTTTTGAGACTGCAGTTTTTTCTTTCTTTCTTTTTAAATGTTAAAGCTAGAAGCCTGGAACTATCCTGGAGCGTTTTCTTGTATAATTTCTAGCTTTTTGAAAAAAGTGTTAGCTAGAAGAATTGAGTCTCAGCCAGGCAGGCCTAAACTAGACACGTGGAGGAGTGCAGGGGCGAACACTCACACCAGTCTAATCACTGTGGATTGGGTGTCAAAGCCCTGGCATTATGCTGCCTTTATCTATTCTCCTTAACCCCACACTTGTCCTACTATCAAGGGATGATGTGGAAGAGCCTTCAGGAAGATGTAACTCTTTCCTTGGGGCTGTGACCATTTTATAGACTGATTTCCAGGCTCAGAGGGCACACAGCACCAGGGCCTTCACTGCATTTCTTCCTAGAAGCCAGCGACCAAAATGCATGTGACAGCTCAACAATTTTTCTAGCAGTTGGTTGCTGCTGCTCACTCCACCCACAGAAAGAAAAACTAAAAGGAATTTTATTCTTGGTGTCGCAGTTACTTTTTGGACAGGGGCAACTGCAACTGTGAAATGGCTGAATCAGGAAACTTCCTCTGTCTTTAAGACAAAATTGCTCTAGGTTAGTGTAATTAGGGATGTGAAGCCTTTCTTTCCAACCCCAAATCCCCTAAAGTTCTCTTATGTAAATATCTGCCCCCCTATTTCCAACTGTCTCCTCTCAAAAGCCCATCCTTTATATAACTGGAGTCAGATTGTTTCATTTTATTAGGTTGAACCATGTGAAATGGCTGATAGTTGGTTCCGCCTAATCTAGTTAGAGAGTTTCTTTTGAGAAACAGAGGAACACCACAGTGAATAAGAACTGGAGGCAGCATTACTTCTTGGAAGAGAGGCAGTGAAGCTGGAGGAAAGCAGCCCCCAACACTGTTCCCAGGTGCCGGCACTGCAGCCTGTGTGCAGATGCCTAGACTCCAGCCTGAGCCTGAGAAGCAGATGCTGGCTGGAGTTGGGAGGAAATATGCCAGGCTCTGAGGAACATCAGCTTCGCTAATGATTCGCAAAACCCTATGAAGTCAAAGCAGGTTGTTGTGGTTGAAAAATGCAAAACAACCGTGTCTTCATCAGAGTTACAAAACATTGCCCATATGTACACACTAAGGAGCACTTTCAACCTGCTGTATTTCCTTCGCTTGGGCAAATACTGAGCTTTGATTTCTTTCTTTTCTTTCCCCCTCTCATGTTCTTTATGGCAGTGCTTTCCCAGACTAGAAAGGTTTGCAATTCCCTCACATGCTTCTCTTAGGCCGAGCATGGCTATTGCATGACTTAAATCAAAGCAATAACGAAACCAAACCAAACCAAACAAAAACGCAATAACTCTGATAGAGCATGTAGAAACTAGCTGGTTGGGAAACAAATGTAACATTTTAATCTGTTAAGGATTGAGTTCTAAGTTGATTCATGCCAACGAATAACTAGGAAAATGAAGATCACAGTTTGAATGGTTGAGTTTTGCTTTTTCTCCTTAGGATCATGGTAAAGTTGCAATTTATGCACGTTTGTCACAGCACAGGCCACATGGTATTTTATTGGGATTGATTTAGCTAAAGGCCACTGATGGATGGAATTCTTCAGATTGTGTATCTTTTTCAGCAACCAACATGCTACTAAGGAAAGACCCTCTTTTCCTTGTGTCCTCATGAAATTTGCACCAAATAGAAAGAAATCAGAGAAGGCATTCAATTCTTGGGTGGTGGCGCCATCGGCCTCTGTACCCAAGAGCTTCTCTGCAATGTCCCAGAAGACTGAACTTACTCTGGTTGTGGCTCTTTGTTATGCAAACTGCAAGACATCCGGTGCCACATTAGTGATCCTGGTCTTGGTTCTGTTGTAGAAAACTTCAGTTTACTTGAACCCAGCCCCACAGAACACACTGGAAATAGCTCACTATGCTAGTGAAGGAAACAAAAATATTTCACCCCAAAATATACTTCTTTGACGTACTTTGAGATGACTGTTCAGAAGACCTGCGAACACAAGTAGCTCTGCAAAGCTGTCTTTTGTTAGGGAGATTTACATCTGTAGAGGAAATAAAGTGAAGTAAACAACAGATGCAAACAGGCTTTCTCTGAAGCCTCCCCTTGTTTGGGTCCAGGAAAGATTAACTGAGCCTGACACCCATCTATTCCTCCTGAGGGTTGCTACCTCTGAGGTTTTATCTGCATATCAAGACTGCCTTTGCTCTGAGCTTTGGTTAATGGATGCTGGAAAAAAAAGACCGCCTTTGTTAGCCAAGCCTGTCCTCTTCTCTCCCTCCTATAATCTGTCTTGCCACTATAACATGTTTTCCCACCTTCTAAGCCCCTGTTCTTTCTGTAATCTCAAGATGGTATAAAAGTGCCAACCATTTGGCCATTTCTTTGAGGGTTTTTTTGTTGTTTGTTTTGAGACAAGGTCTTGCTGTGTCGCCCAGACTGGAGTGCGGTGGTGAGATCATAGCTCAGTGAAGCCTCGAACTCCTGGCCTCAAGCCATCCTCCCACCTCAGCATCCAGAGTAGCTGGGACTACAAGGGCATGCCACCACATCCAGCTAATTTTAAAATGTTTTGTAGAGATGGGGATCTTGCTATGCTGCCCAGGCTGGTTTAACTCCTGGGCTCAAGCAATGCTCCCACTTCGGCCTCCCAAAGCACTGGGATTACAGGCATGAGCCATCACATCTGGCTGAGTTTTTATATTTTGTATGACTCCTGTGCCCATATGCGCATTAATAAAATTTGTATGCCTTTCCCCTTGTTAATCTATTATCAGTTTATTTCACAGACTCAAACTATCAAACCTTCAGGGGAAATAGTAAACTTTAATGTTTAAAATTAAAGTTAAAAAAATTAAAGTTCCCTATACTGGGTAACCCAATGTTCTCTACTTATCTTCTGTAAGGATTCTTATCACATGGTTAGTAATAGTAAAATTTGTTGTAGTAGTTTGTTGTTAGTAAATGTAGTAGATTAGTTCAATTAATAGCTCAATTAGTTAATTAAACTATTTTTTCTTCTGTAAAACTGGTAATAATACTTCCTTACAAAGTTGTTGCTATAAGAATTAAGATTAGATTAAGCCAGACTCGGTGGCTCACGCCTGTAGTCCCAGCACTTTGGGAGGCTGAGGTGGGTGGATCACTTGAGGTCAGGAGTTCGAGACCAGCCTGGCCAACATGGTGAAAACTTGTCTCTACTAAAAATACAAAATTAACCAGGCATGGTGGTGCACACCTGTAATCCCAGCTACTTGGGAGGCTGAGGCAGGAGAATCACTTGAACCTGGGAGGTGGAAGTTGCAGTGAGCCCAGATTGTACCAGTGCACTCCAGCCTGGGCAACAAGAGTGAAACTCTGTCTCAAAAAAAAAAAAAAAAAAAAAAAAAAAAAGAAAGAATTAAGGTTAGATTAGTTAGACAGAGAACTTAGAACAGGGACTGACACTTAGCAGATGCTCAAGAAATGTTTATCATCTTCAACTAAAAAGAAATCCAATCCACCAATTTAAAACGTTTACTTTAGGATGATATAGGAAAGCTGAAATCCAGCCAAATTCTCCTTTACTTCACTTGGTACTGGTTCACTCACCCAACTTCAAGAACTCCCAGCCTCGCGTTCTGGTGCTGGGGGCCTTGGGTGTGGTTTTCACCAGCTCCCTTTTAAAGTAGCTGTTCTTTAAAGCTTGGCTTAGAGCAGCAGCAGCAGCAGCAGCACCTAGGACTTGTTAGAAATGCAAATTATTGGGCTCCAGGCCAGCCCCACAGGATCAGAAGCCCTGGGGACGGGGGCCTAGCGAGTTTTGACATGCTCTGCAGGTGATTTTGAGAACTACGGAGGGAGCTAAGGGGAGGGGGGATATCTTGACTTTTTCCCTCTGGGGGTCACTGTATTTCCTTTCTTGTCCCCTTCTTTATCTGGAAAAAAAATAGTTAGGGTTGGGGAGGGAGAGAGAAAAGAAGAGAAAAACAAAACTAATCTTTGCTAGTGATATGGGAGGCGGGCAGGGAGGTGCTGGGAAGGGAAGGGCATGGTCCCTAGCTAGGGCCCCACCCCTGGACCTGTGCCCACGGACCTAGGTGAGGACGGGCATTTTTGGTTTCTTGCTTAAATGTTGCATTTCCCAAGACCACCCTGGCCCATCATGCCCCCATCCTGTGCCTATAAAAACTCTGAGACCCTAGCAGGCAGAGACACAAGCCGCTGGATGTCGAGAGGAACACATTGGTAGAGGAACTCACAGGTGGCTGGATGTCGAGAGGAACACACTGGTGGAAGAGCACACGGACAGGCACCAGCAGACAACCGCACGCCAGCAGCCCGTCAACCAGCACAACGATGTGGAGTTTGGCCGGGTCAGTCAGAGGGGAGTCCAGCTGCTGAGCAGCCCGACTCCAGGAAGAAAACACCTTCCCACTCCATCTCCCTTCTGGCTCTCCCATCTTCTGAGAGCTACTTCCATTCAATAAAACCTTGCACTCATTCTCCAAGCCCAAGTGTGATCTGATTCTTCCGGTACACCAAGGCAAGAAACCCTGGACGGCTAAACTGAAAGAGCACCCTGTAACACACACCCACTGGGGCTTCAGCTGTAGCCCCACAGCCTGCCCGTCTGTATGCTCCCCCTAGAGGTTTGAGCAGCAGGGCACTGAAGAAGCGAGCCACACCCCCATCACATGCCCTGTGAGGGGGACAAGGGAATTTTTCCCGTTTCACTAGCAGATGTCAGGAAATGCCCTTCATCCAGCCCCTCAGTTCCCAAATGTTTCCTTTTTCCAGGGGATCTAGTGTTTCAGCTCCAGTTTGCTCCCCTTGGCCCATGTGGTACAGGCATCATCAGTCTATCCCTGGATGTTGGGCTTTAGGCAGGAGTCACATTTTTTTTTTTTTTTTTTGAGACGGAATCTCACTGTGTCACCCAGGGTGGAGTGCAGTGGCATGATCTCGGCTCCCTACAACCTACGCCTCTTGGGTTCAAGTGATTCTCCTGCCTCAGCCTCCCAAGTAGCTGGGATTACAGGTGCCCACCACCATGCCTGGCTAATTTTTGTATTTTTAGTAGAGACGGGGTTTCATCATGTTGGCCAGGCTGGTCTCGAATGCCTGACCTTATGATCCGCCCGCCTTGGCCTCCCAAAGTGCTGGGATTACAGACGTGAGCCACCACGCCCAGCCAGGCGGGAGTAACTTTTTCTCTCATCTTCCTTCTCTTGTTATTATTGGAGTTAGGCATATTTCCCCCGAAAGGCTCACCTTCCCTGCACTCTTATTATGCCTAGCCCCTTCCTTTTGCTCATCACATCTTGAAGTCCTAGCCCCAAGGAGGTATGGAAAAATAGGATGAAGTGGAAAAGAGTGAGGAGCTACCAAGCAAAATGGGTCCGCCCTGGGATTTGGTGTTCAACAGTGAATAATAATTTTCTGCCAACTTCTGGCTATGGACTTTCATTCAGGTTGTTTAACTTGAAGCATTTTCACAGTTCTGCCATCCTATCCCTACCCAAACTCCAGGAGAGTACTCCTATTCCTCAGTAGTGTACAAGAGTACTCAACAGAAAGGACAAGAGTGCACTCACAAAACCGGTTCAATTGTCCCATGTAACTGATATTTACAAGTTTTTTGAATAAACATAGAAGTTGACCTTCCCAGTCTTAAAACTTGGAACTTACATCTGTCTCATCTGAGTTCCTTCATGTTATGGGTTGGCTCTGTGTCCCCACCCAAATCTCATCTCGAATTGTAATCCCTGCATGTTGAGGGAGGGATCTGGTGGGAGGTGATTGGATCACGGGAGGAGTTTCCACCATGCTGTTCTTGTGATAATGAGGGAGTTCTCACAAGATCAGATGGTTTAAAAGTGTTTGGCATTTTCCCCCTCACTCTCTCTCTCTCCTGCTACCTTATGAAGAAGGTGCTTGCTTCCCCTTTGCCTTCTGCCAATTGTAAGTTTCCTGCTGCCTCCCCAGCTATGTGGAACTATGAGTCAATTAAACCTCTTTCCTTTATAAATTACCCAGTCTCACATAGTATCTTTATATCAGTGTGGAAACGGACTAATAGACTTTCTCAGGAAACCGACCCTCAGGCAAGGAACTGAAACTCACCAGATCACTGCATCCACACAATGAGATGCCAGAGCCCTCATTCATCATGGCTGCTTCCTTACCCCTCCCTAATTCCTATTTTCCTGCCTTTCTTGCTATATAAACCCCCAATTCTAGTTGGTTGGAAATTTGAGACTTTATCTCATGTTCTCCTTGGCTGTAGCACCCGATTAAAGTCTTCTTCCCTGTCATTCTCTCAGTGATTGTTTTTTGTGTGGCGAACAGCAGGACCTAGACCAACCCCTGGTGTTTGGCAGCACTCAGTGTACAGGAGTATTGGTAACACTTAGTGTACAGGAGTACTTAATAGAATATATAGGAGGAGAAGAATACTGTTCCTTTTTTTTTTATTATTATATTTTAAGTTCTGGGATACATGTGGAGAATGTGCAGGTTTGTTACATAGGTATACATGTGCCATAGTAGTTTGCTGCATGTATCAACCTGTGATCTGCGTTAGGTATTTGTCCTAATGCTATCCCTCCCCTAGCCCCCCATCCCCTGACAGGCCCCGGTATGTGATGTTCCCCTCCCTGTGTCCATGTGTTCTCATTGTTCAATCCCCACTTATGAGAGAGAACATGCGGTGTTTGGTTTTCTGCTCTTGTGTTAGTTTGCTGAGAATGATGGTTTCCAGCTTCATCCATGTTCGTGCAAAGGACATGAACTCTTCCTTTTTTACAGCTGCATGGTACAATGCTCTTTCTTACTCCTCAGTAGTGGGTACCCCCATCTGTTGCTGAGATTAAATTACCAAATACAAAGCACACCTGAAAATATTAAGCATCCTTTAGGAGGGGAGTGAAAAAAGCTGGGTATGGTTTACCCGCAAAGTGGACTTTTTATTCTCATTAAACATGCAAAGCAAACCAAAAATGAAAAAAGTTTGCCTTTTCCCAACACACTTCTGTGCCCTATACCGCTCAACACTTACAGCAACTGTCTACTTTAGCGAAAAGTGATTCCATTTCAATGTTTCCCCAGCAAATGGTGATAAAGAATGAAAATTGGACGTGTAAAACATCATATAGAATTTTAAAAGCATTTATTTAAAAAAACCTCTTTATTATTTCAAACAGAATTTCAAACATAGAAAAACACAGACAGAATAGTATAATGAAAATCCACTGACTCATTACCCAGCTTCAACAACTTTCAACTCATGGGCACTCTTATTTCATTTATGTCCCCATCCCCATCTTTACCTCCCATATTTTTTGGAAGCAAATCTCAGATGTCATACTATTTTATCTACCAATATTTCAGCATGTATCTCTAAAAGGTAAGAATTTAAGAAAATATACAGCCACAGTACTATTATCACACTTAGAAAAAGGTAACAAAAATTCCTTAACATCATCAAGTATCCATTAAGCGTTCAAATTAAAAATTTTCTCATACATAGCGTAAATTATTATTATTTTTTTTGAATCAAGGTCCAAATAAGGTCCACACATTGCAATTTGGTTAATAGGCTTTTAGGTCTCTTTAAATCTATAATCTCTCTCTCTTTTTGCAACTGATTTGTCATTTAATATGTTCTCCTGTCCTCTGTACTTCCTGTAAAATGTTATTTGAACTAGAGGCTTGATTAGATTTGGGTTTGAGGGTTTTGTTTTTTGTTTTTTGTTTCTTTGGTAAGAACGCTTTATATGTAGTATTGTATATAGCATATTTCACAAACAAATATTAAGGATTACAGATATATCAGCTATTTTGAGTTACACAAATTCCCATTTTGCTTCCATCACAGCAGATTCTCGAGTATCTGTATTATCTCCCAATGTATTTTAACTCTTCAGAAATTTATCACTTTTTCTGTAGAAAAAAATTCTGTGTGTGTGTGTCTGCAGCTGTGTCGGGTGGGAGGGCATTAAGCTCTAAACTAGAGTAAGGCCCATTTAGTAAACAGTTAATGCCTTTGCTCTTTTTATTTGCAAATGTTTTTGGAAATGTTTTCCAGAGGTAAAATCTAGCATTAGTCAATCAAACAAAAACGATTTCCATTACTATTCTAATTCAGAATGTCTAACGGGATTCCCAACAGCAATATGATATTCATCTATAATAATTTTATTTTCTTAATGTTTTCTACAATTTAAATTTCTGTTTATCTAACTAGATGGTCTTTAAGAATGCCCTTCAAATCTGTTGTTGGCTAATTGTAGAAGAATGCTTCCTAAAGGTTTTGCCTTCCTAAAAGTTTAAGCTGTGGGGAAAAGAAAACGGGTCCAAATTATGTTTGCAAATGAGTGTGTATCCATATTGTCAGGTCACAAGAAAAGGAAGTAAGATACCAATAATGTTTGATCATAAAGGGAAAACAATTATTTGTAAGTCTGATTTAAATTTCTATTAACTTCAAATGTGAGCTTGGCGATACATTTCCTTAGTTATATTAGTTTTCTATCATGGCTGTAACAAATTACCAAAAACTTAGTGGCTTAAAGCAATGCAAATTTATTATCTTATAGGTCTGGAGGTCAGAAGTCCAGTGTGGGTCTCAGTGAACTAAGATCAAGGTGTTGATAGGGCTGCATTCTTTCCAGAGGCTCTGGGGAGAATTAATTTTCTTGCTTTTTTCAGCTTCTAGGGGCCACCCACATTCTTTGGCTCATGGTCCCATTCCTCTAGGCTCAAAGCCAAGAGCAGCAGGTTCAATCCTTCTCTATTCGAGTCACTCTGGCCTCTTGTTCTGCTTAAGGACTCTTGTGATTATATTGGGTTCACCCAGATAACCTATGATAATCAACCCTATTAAGGTTGATTAGCAATCTTAATTCCCTTTGCCATATAACATAACATATTTGCAGATTGTGGGGATTAGGAAGCCAGTGTCTTTGGGGGGCCATTATTCTGCCAACCACGCAAGCCAAATAATGTTTGACATCTTTCCAGATTTAATAAAACCAAGTAGCTGGGTTAAATATTTAAATATTATTGTTTTTGTGACCGGTCTCATTTCTTTGAGCAAGGCTGGATATAAATAAATAAATACATTTGGTTTAAATGCTGTTTTGATATTGAAGAAAAACATGAATCATTATCCTATTTTGCACCAAATAAGAAGGAGCACGGATCTTCCATCCCTGTTTCTGGTTATTGCCTTCCATTTTTCGGAAGGAAGTAGTTAAGCAGATCTCTCTGAGTTTCTAATTTAAAGCACATTGTTTAGCAGACGTTTTCTGTCTTTAGTTTTTAGAAATTTGATTTAAATATATTTGGGTATGAATATGAGTTTATACTATTTGGGTTTTGCTCAGCTTTTTGAATCTATAGGTTTATGGGTATTTTTAAAAGCAAATTTGGGAAAAATTTAGCCATTATTTCTTTGAATATTTTTTTAACCCCACAGTCTTTCTTTTCTTCTTTTGGAATTCTGATG